CGAGATGAGATCAAAGAAATAGCTACATAACCAGCCTATTAGCCATTGCCAATTGTGAGGAGTTGTGTTGCTCATCTCAAATTTACAAATTTTCAGTCTACTTATGAATGAATGTACAATGAAGAGATATTTGTAAATCAGATGATACAAATTTAAAGTTATTGAATATTTGTGGTAAGAAAATCTATCAGGCTGGGCGCAGTGGCTCACGCCTGTGATCCCAGCACTTTGGGAGGCTGAGGCGGGCAGATCACCTGAGGTTGGGAGTTTGAGACCAGCCTGACCAACATGGAGAAACCCCGTCTCTACTAAAAATACAAAATTAGCCGGGTGTGCTGGCGCATGCCTGTAATCCCAGCCACTCGGGAGGCTGAGGCAAGAGAATCACCTGAACCCGGGAGGCAGAGGTTTCGGTGAGCCAAAGTCATGTCACTGCAATCCAGCTTGGGCAACAAGAGCAAAACTCCGTCTCAAAAAAAAAAAACAAGAAAATCTGTTAATGAAGATATTAGTCATACACACATATTGAAACTGAATACAGTAAAATATATACATATGACATATAGCAGCTGACATACAAGGTTTATAGTGCTTAATGTTTGCAACACATAATCTATCATTCAATGACCTCAATCACTATGTATAAAAATGAAGCACGCTGCCTCTCACTTTCCCCCAAAAAAATGTCCCAAAGGGATACTCACTACTCAAGCCCTATCCATCTCACAAACGAGATGAATCATTAACTCCACTCCAAAAAGTCCTGAGTCCTATCCACTCTCTTCCAGTGGAATCAGAAGAAACAAAGAGTTTCCTCCCTGCCACTTTGGGAAGCGTAAGCATCTCATGAATATTATAGTTCACACACCACAAAGGAACTCAAGAATGCCTCAGTCAGTTTTTCTTCTATGTTCCAAAGAGCACCAAGGAAATTCTGGGCACTTGATAGTGTCCCTGAGAGTAAAACACCACTATTCACCAAATTACCCTCTTTGCTGCCAAAGAACAATGGGGCTTTGGTAATTTTCTCCTTTTAAAGCCAAAAAGATAAGGCATGACTTCAACATTAGCAAAATGTCAAGACCACTCCAATGTGCACTTGTTCTACATCAGCATGTGGGCTGGTTAGCACAGCTCCATGCCTTGGCCAGGGACTGCCCCAACCCCACTCAGCTGTTTAAAAATGATGGCCACAAATGAGAAAACATGGCTCTGCCCTATTCCTTCTCAATTTGGAAAAAAACAAAAAGCCCCAAATGTCTATGTCTCTTCATCATAATTCAAAGGAATTACCACCCGGTAAATTCACTGAGTTTCTAAGCCAGGTCCCTTGTCTCAATTATCAAGCACTTATCAAGCTCCCTAAGCTAGAATATACTCAGGAAATGTGTTCAACAGTAACTAAATGATCATGTAGACTATGTAATTTCTATGTTCAACAAAGAAGTGTCTTGATAATTATATTTTAATATACTCTGTCAGTCCTTATGGAAGATAAAAAATACATCACTAGTTTTTCCATTCCAGGCAATCTGTTAAAAGAAACCAACGTTACTTATAAACAGATTCCAAGCTATCAGGAGAGTAAATTAAAAATATACTTGCGTCTTTTAGATACATTTTTAAAACCATTTGTCAGATTCTTGTTCTGGCAAGAGTCTTAAGACTGGCCACATAACTTCTTTTTTATTTTTATTTATTTATTTACTTATTTAAATTTTTTTTTTTTTTGAGACAAGAGTCTCACTTGTTGCCCAGGCTGGAGTACAGTAGTGCAATCTTGGCTCACTGCAACCTTCACCTCCCAGGCTCAAACAATTCTCCTGCCTCAGCCTCCAGAGTAGCTGGGATTACAGGCATGTGCCTCCATGCTCAGCTAATTTTTACACTTTTAGTAGAGATGAAGTTTTGCCATGTTGGCTAGGCTGGTCTCAGACTCCTGACCTAAAGTGATCCGCCTTGGCTTCCAAAGTGCTGGGATTACAGGCGTGAGCCACTACGCCCAGCCCTACATAACTTCTTAAACTTAAAATTAATCTTTATATTCTAGTGTCTTCCAATTAAATAAATGGAGGCCATGCTCGTGACTCACATCTCAAACTCCTGGGCTTAAGCAATCCTCCCACCGTAGCCTCCCAATTAGCTGGGACCACAGGCACACACCACCATACCTGGCTAATTTATATATATATATATATATATATATATTTTTTTTTTTTTTTTTTTTTTTTTTTTTGAGACGGAGTCTCGCTCTGTCTCCTGGGCTGGAGTGCAGTGGCCGGATCTCAGCTCACTGCAAGCTCCGCCTCCCGGGTTTACGCCATTCTCCTGCCTCAGCCTCCCGAGTAGCTGGGACTACAGGCGCCCACCACCTCGCCCGGCTATTTTTTTGTATTTTTTAGTAGAGACGGGGTTTCACCGTGTTAGCCAGGATGGACTCGATCTCCTGACCTCGTGATCTGCCCGTCTCGGCCTCCCAAAGTGCTGGGATTACAGGCTTGAGCCACCGCGCCCGGCCCTAATTTTTATATTTTTGGTAGAGACAAGGTCTTGCTCTATTGACCAGGCTGGGTTCAAACTCCCAGCATCATGCAATCCTCCTCCCACCTAGGCCTCCCAAAGACTGCATCTCAATGTAGAAAACAAAAACAAACAAAACCAAATAAAAACAATGATATGAGGTTTTCTATGTGGGTGAGGGAGTGGCTCATGTTATTTCTGAAAAGATCTGGAGAAAAATAAATTCTATATCTTTATCACACACTTCCTGCTATAGAAGATCTCTGGGTTCATTTCTAGAAAAAAGGAGTTGTGCACAAAGGTACCAGGAATTGGCGTGTGTGGGTGTTTGTGTACATGTGTATGTGTGTGTAAGTACCAGAGCTTTAGAAAGTCTACAAACCTCAGCTGAGCACGGTGGCTCACGCCTGTAATCCCAGCACTTTGGAAGGCCTAGGTGGGTGGATAACGAGGTCAGGAGTTCGAGACCAGCCTGGACAACATGGTGAAACCCCGTCTCTACTAAAAAAAAAAATACAAAAAATTAGCTGGACATGGTGGCATAAGCCTGTAATCCCAGCTATTTGGGAGGCTGAGGCAGGAGAACTGCTTGAACCCAGAAGGTGGAGGTTGCAGTCAGCCAAGATCACGCCACTGCATTCCAGCCTGGCGACAGAACAAGACCCCCCCTCAAAAAAAAAAAAAAAAAAAAGTCTATAAACCTGTCTGAACCCAAAAAGACAGACTCACATTCAATCACAATATTGGGGGATAAAGAGGAAAAAGCAATTATTGAAATAATGCATTTTGACTGGGCGCAGTGGCTCACGCCTGTAATTCCAGCACCTTGGGAGGCTGAGGCGGACAGGTCACAAGGTCAGGAGATCGAGACCATCCGGGCAAACATGGTGAAACCCTGTCTCTACTAAAAATACAAAAAAAAAAAAAAAATTAGCCAGGCGTGGTGGCAGGCACCTGTACTCCCAGCTACTCAGGAGGCTGAGGCAGAAGAATGGCGTGAACCCAGGAGGCGGAGGTTGCAGTGAGCTGAGATCGTATCACTGCACTTCAGCCTGGGCAGGACAGCAAAACTCGTCTCAAAAAAAAAAAGAAAAGAAAAAAAAAGAAATACTGCATTTTATTTCTATGTATACAGTTTTTTTAGGACCACTATGACCAGTAGAGCTGGATAAAAGAAATAGAAATACAGATTATGAACAAAAGTTGAAGGCATTTCTTTAACCTAAGAGAGTGAAACACCGCACTTGCTCACACATCCTCACCCTGGTCACATGCTGTTGCTTTCATACACGCTATGCTCACCTGTGCCCTCTATTTGTGCCTCACACCCTCTGGAAGGCTGAGTAAGTAGCAATTCCTCCTGAAGCTTTCCTAATCGAGGGTCAGAATCTTTTGAGCTCAAACATTTTGTAATACCTCTAAGATGCACTGATTATAGATGACAATGAAAAACAGCTCAACAATATCTTAAATTTAATCACCACCAGTAGATCATAGAAAACCACCATTTTTCCTCAACAACTGCCAAAACAACAAACAAGGGGCTGGGTTTTTTCACTTTTTGTTTTTTCTGCAGTAGAAGAAGAATTTAATTAATGGAAGGGTGGTCCATGTTAGAGAACCAGAGATATTGCCCAAATCAGTCACCTATTTTCTTCACATTTGTATGCTATCAATGTATACATCAGGTGTTATTAAGGAATAATAAAGAATATAAAGTTTTCATCCCAGTGATCCTCAAAAGAAAACAAAAAGCCATACATCCTATAAGGTCAAGAGTCAACTGCCTGGGAAGCAGACTTTAGGTTCTAACCTCTGGCTTCTAATGGCTATATAATTTTCTTAGAACCTGGCAGACCAGCATTTCCCAAAATGATGTCTGCTGGACACTCTTCTGTACCGTTCTGAAAAGATATTCAAATCAATCGGGAAAAGCCTTTTGTTGTTGTTGTTGTTTGTTTTTAAAGACAGAGCGTCACTCTGTCGTCTAGGCTGGAGTGCAGTGGCACAATGTCAGCACACAGCAACCTCTGCTTCCTAGATTCAAGCAATTCTCCTGCTTCAGCCTCCTGAGTAGCTGGGATTACAGGCGCGTACCACCACACCCAGCTAATTTTTTGTATTTTTAGTAGAGATGGGGTTTCACCGTGTTGGCCAGGCTGGTCTCGAATTCCTAACCTCAAATGATATACACCCGCCTCAGCCTCCCAAAGTGCTGGGATTACAGGCATGAGCCACTGCACCTGGCCAGGAAAGTCTGTATTAAAACAAAGTTAAAATGGTTACTTTACTGGAGAACTTTTGTGGGGCTTTAATATGCTAATATACATTATAAATTTCCAACCTAAAATTTCATTATGAAGCCTTTAGCAAAGTAGTTTAAGCAAGATCCTGAGAAGAGTCTGGAAAATGCTTCAAATAAGTCTTTTGTTTTTTGGTCACTGTAGTACTGAGTACTTTAGTTCCTAAAAAGCTCTTACCTGATATGTGTTGCGGGCAGAGATTCATACTGGCGTGACAAAAAGAGTTCCCTATGTTTCAACTGATGTTTCTGCTTATCAGTCAAGTCAGCCTCAACTGTTGTTTCAGATTCTTCCTCAATTTCTTCTACACAAATAAAATTCAAAGAATTTATTAGTACAAAGCACATTATCTGTTTGGATATTGAAACAGATCAAATCAACATTTCATTCAGTATTTTCTTCAAACTAATCAATTTTAAATTTAAACATTTGTTGGGTGCAGTGGCTCACGCTTGTAATCCTAAGCAGTTTGGGAAGCTGAGGCAGATGGATCACCTGAGGTCAGGAGTTCGAGACCAGCCTGGCCAACAAGGCGAAACCCCATCTCTACTAAAAATACAAAAATTAGCCAGGCATGGTGGCGGGCGCCTGTAATCCCAGCTGCTCGGGAAGCTGAAGCAGAATTGCTTGAACCCAGAGGGTGGAGGTTGCAGCCAAGATTGTACCACTACACACAAGCCTGGGTGAAAGAGCAAGATTCCGTCTCAAAAAATAATAATAATAATTAAACATTTATCTTGTCAGTTCAACTATAACCATAAAATTATCAGGGCCTCAAAGGAACAAAAACTCCAACTTAAAAATGGCAGATGGTACCCCAAAAATATGCACAAGTATTACATATCAATTTAAAAATTAATTCACTTTTTTTTGGAGATAGAGTTTGCTCTGTTGCCCAGGCTGGAGGGCAGTGGTATAATCTCAGCTCACTGCAACCTCCACCACACAGGTTCAAGCAATTCTTATGCCTTAGCCTCAAGAGTAGCTGCGATTACAGGCGTCCATCACCACACCTGGCTAATTTTATGTATTTTTAGTAGAGACGGGGTTACACCATGTTGGTCTTGAACTTCTGGGCTCAAGTGATCTGCTCACTTTGGCCTCTCAAAGTGCCAGGATTACAGGCATGAGCCACTATGCCCAGCCTCACAGAAGGGATTTTATCAAATATAATGCCCTTGCTGAAGCAGTTCTTTATGAATAGCATGAGGGTAATGAATGGAATATCAGATCTTTTCTACTTTCAAACTTTTAAAACTGAACTGAAAATGAACCTTAAACAGTAACTTAGAAAAATACTCACCTAGCTCAAAGCAAGAATAAAGCAATTTAAAATTCTTTGGATGTTCTTTTTAATGAACTACTCAAAGAGAAATATAGCACTAAAAGGGCCATTTACTTGCAGGTCTAATAACATTTCACCAGTGAAGATCAATAAAGTTACTGCTGCATTGGCACTATTAGCACTAGAAAATATCACATACAAAATTATACTCTTTACCTAATTAGGATTTGACAAATTGTTGTTGTATAAGACACAGCTAACTGAATTCTAATGCATACCCTACAGAGCTAAAACAGCAACCAGCTCTGCAACAGTAACAGTAAATCTTACATTCTTACATGATCCCTTGGTTCACCATAAAAAGGACCAAAATCACTGAAATCCAACCTAACCAAAGACAAAAATCACCACAATGGCATCTCTCATGTAGATCACTAATGAAAACCACTTTTTAAAATGTACCAGTTAAATTTCAAATTTCATTTATGTATTTGTATAATTATTTTTTAGACGGAGTCTCGCTCTGTCACCCAGGCTGGAGTGCAGTGGCACAATCTCAGCTCACTGCAACCTCCATCTCCTGGGTTCAAGTGATTCTCCTGCCTCAGCCTCCTGAGTAGCTGGGATTACAGGCATGTGCCAACACACCTGGCTAATTTTTGTATTTTTAGTAGAGACAGGGTTTCACCATGTTGCCCAGGCTGATCTCAAACTCCTGAGCTCAAGTAATCTGTAAACCTTAGCGTGAGATAAATCGACTATTAGTGTGGATGAAGAGTAAAGAGAATTCAGAAGATAAATTTAAAGTTGGACGGCTTTAAATTTGGTATGATGGCTTATGCCTGCAATCCCAGCACTTTGGGAGGCTGAGGCAAGCGGATAGCTTGAGCACAGGAGTTCAAGACCAACCTGGGCAATGTCTCTACAAAAAATACAAAAAGTAGCCAAGCCCGTGGTCCCAGCTACTTAGAGATTGATGTAAGAGGATCACTTGAGCCCAGGAGGCGGAGGGTGCTGAGCCGAGATCACGCCATTGCACTCCAGCCTGGGCAATACAGCAAGACCCTATCTTGAAATAAATAAATAAATACGGTTGAACAATGCCTCTGAGCCAGAGTCTGATCCATGAGACTCTCGCTCATCTCCAGGGGGAGACTCCTCTTTGCTACAAAGCAGCACCCATATATGCTTAAGGTACTTCACAATACGTCTTGCTCTACTCTACAGTTATCTGATTTCACTGCATCCCTTGAGAACAATGACAGGTCAATTATCTTTGTATCCACCCTATTTTACTTGTGGGGTAAAAGTGAACCTCAAGAAACATTCAGAGCAGACCAAGTAAGAATTATCAAGCAACACTAACTTCAGCAGCTGCAAGGATAGACTCAAAAAGTTACAGCATAAAACACAGCAAAACATAAACAACAAGTTACTGTAAAAGGGGCTTTATTTTTCACATTTCATTCTAGTGCTTTTCAAAATTCTTCTTTCAAGATTTAACACAAAGTGGAAGAGAGACTAAACTTAAGAGTCACACTTGAGGCCGGGCGCAGTGGCTCGCTCATGCCTGTAATCCCAGCACTTTGGGAGGCCGAGACGGGCAGATCACCTGAGGTCAGGAGTTTGAGACCAGCCTGGCCAACATGGTGGAACCCCGTCTCTACTAAAAGTACAAAATATTAGCTGGGCGTGGTGGCAGGTGCCTGTAATCTCAGCTACTCTGGAGGCTGAGGCAGGAGAATTGCTTGAACCCAGGAGACAGAGGCTGTAGTAAGCCAAGATCACGCCATTGCACTCCAGCCTGGGTAACAAGAGAGAAACTCTGTTTCAAAAAAAAAATAAAAAAAGAAAATTGTGCTGACCTCAAAGACGCCCTGGAAAGGATTTTAGGAACTGCTGAGCTAAATGCAAAAGAAATCTTACCTAAAAGTATATATTAAATGAAAACCAAAAACTGGCTAAGTAAGAGTTTTTTACTTTATTGGCTTTAAGAAATTTATCACAGAAATTTTATTTTCACAGTGTTGAGATACAAGGACTCATAAGTTATTCGATAGCAAATCAGGATCCCATCAGAAATTTAAGCTATTTCTGCTTTACATTTATTCAAAGAACACTGCATCTGGCAAAAGCTGCCCAATACTATAATAAATTCCAAGTCCATCTGGAATTTTATATGGTCTCAATATGCCACTGTACTATTTTTCACTTGCTATTAATTTTAAAACAAAGAATCAGAACCAAGTTATCTAGCAGCAACAGAGCACCATCCATTCTCTAATTCATTAACACCCCAGCAAGTAGCTTCCTAAAACACAATTTATATTTCTCCAGTTTTGATAAAAAGGCCTCAATAACTTCCAACCATTAGGGTAAAAACTAAACTTTCATGTCTTATACATCTAACAATCTGCCTTGCCACATGTTTCAACAAGGATCTGTGTCCTCCCTTCCACCCTACCTTCAGCCAAAAAAAAAAGGAAATTTATTGATGTGCCGACCAACGTGTTCTAGGGCTATCTATGAGGAAGACATAAAAGTCCTACCCTGAATTACAGTCCACCCCAGATTCCAGGCAAGAATATATACCTTTAGATGTAGTGAGCACCATAAAATTATGCGGCATACTCTGGAAGCATGACGGAGGAAATTCACGTAGCTTGATGAGCCAGCAGAGGCTTCTCCAAAGAATTCAGTTCGCACAGACACCAGAAGGGAGAGGGAGTAGATGGCCGGGCCCCTGTCTTTGGTAATTAGAGAACACACCTCTGGATAAGGATAGCCTAGGTATCTGTACTTGGGCTTGGTTTGACTGTGGGAATTTACTGCTTTTCCCTTCACATCCTGCTAACTCACCTAAAAACCTCATTAGGGAGTGTCTCCCGGCTTTAAAGCTCAAAGTCCCTCATTTAGAGAACCCCTCAGTCCCCAGCAAATGAGAACAGTTGATCACCCTAGCCTTCATATTACCCAAATGAAGCATTAAACTTAAGGTACCATAATAGCTAAAATTTAAAAGACTGAAAGAACGCAGACCAACTGGAGTTCTCATACATTAACAGAGGAAGTGAAAAATCGGTCCAACCACTTTGGGAATCTGTTCGGCAAAATCTACTCAAGTAAAATTTCTGTGACAAGTTTCTTCCCCCACATGAACCAACAATGTTTCTCCTAGGTAATTACCCAAGAGAAATGAGAGCTTAAGTACACCAAAAGACCTATACATGAAAGTTGATAGCAGCTTTATTTGCAGCAGCCAAAAACTGGAAATAAGCCAAATGTTCAGTAGTAGGAGAACAACAACTAAGGCTGGGTACGGTGGCTCACGCCTGTAATCCCAGCACTTTGGGAGGCCGAGGCAGGCGGACAGCTTGAGCCCAGGAGATCCAGACCAGCCTAGGCAACAGGACGAAACCCCATCTCTACAAAAAGATACAAAAATTAGGCTAGGCACAGTGGCTCCCACCTGTAATCCCAGCACTTTGGGGGGGTGAGGTGGGTGGATCACCTGAGGTCAGGAGTTCGAGACCAGCCTGGCCAACATGGCAAGACCTCATCTCTACTAAAAATATAAAAATTAGCCGAGCAAGGTGGCAGGTGGCTGTAATCCCAGCTACTCAGGAGGCTGAGGTGGGAGAATTGCTTGAACCCGGGAGGCGGAGGTTGCAGTGAGCCAAGATCATGCCACTGCACTCCAGCCTGGGCAACAGAGCAAGACTCCATGGGGTCGGACAAAAATAGCTGGCAGTGGTGGTGCACACCTGAAATCCTAGCTACTCCAGAGGCTGATGCAGGAGAATGACTTGAACCTGAGAGGTGGAAGTTGCAGTGAGCTGAGACTGCAACACTGCACTCCAGCCTGGGCAACACTGCGAGACTCTGTCTCAAAAAAAAAATTAGGTGGGCTTGGTGGCCTGCAGCTGTAGTCCCAGCTACTTAGGAGGCCAAGGTGGGAAAATCCCTCGAACCTGGAAGTTCGAGACTGACAGGAGCAATATAGTAACACCTCGTCTCTA